CCCGCTGGCAGCTCTGGCTGTCGCCAGTTACCCGGGGGTGGACCGCCCTTCCGCAGGCTGTCCAGACTAGCCAAGCTACCTCGCTCATGCTGAGCCAGAGGCGCCCAGTAGTACCGGTCAGGGGCCACTTCATCCACCAGCATGTCTTCGTAACTCCTAGGAGAGAAGACAGCAGGCATCAGCACAAGCCCTAGACTGGGGTGGGGGCATACTGTACCCCCTCCAACCCACCAGAAGACAGGCTGAAGCACACACAGTGTCTGGTCACCACTACCCGGCTGGAGCACACCAGGCAGACTCCCATCAAGGGCTGGGAGCCAGGCAGCAGAGCAGTGTCAGGGTACCTTCCTGCTCCCCAAGCAGGGTCCAGCTCGAGTCCATAGCTGCAGAAGGCTACCCTGAGCACATCCCCAGGCCTGCTCAGGAAGCAGGCGGTCATTCCCTAGGAGAAGGCAGCCTTAACAGCTATTCCAGTCCCTTCCCACCCGCCCATGGGGTTCAGCTTTGGGTCAGAGGCGGGATCCTGATCACGGAGGCAGGAGCTGGCCCCAGAGGCACAAAATCCATTTGGGCCTGTAGCCACTAGAGGGCAAGTTCACACCACAGGAGATGGCCGGGAGAAGAGATCACCCAGGAGCTCCCCAGGCCTCTCACACCAGGCACTGCCTGGGTGCAGAAAGCACCCAGAGACCAGTTTCAGGCCACCCAGTTCCCTGCTGCACTGTCTGGCTCTGTACAACAACGCACCCTGTCACCCCAGCTGCCCAGGACACACGAGTTTCTGCCCGACCAAGCCGCTGACATTATTTCAAAGATCATGGCTAAAGCAAAGATTTTTACCCAGGATGGGGCTCAAACTCTTTTGCCTGCAGATGCCTGGCAATATATTCAAGTTGCACGGCTGCCCTGGACAGGCTTAGTTGGGCATCAAGAGACACCTGAGCTCCAGGGATCACCCTCCCTGCTCCCAGTTCAGGCAACAGGGGAAGAGCTGTGGTTCCACACCCCCTGCACCGGTGAAGAGCAGTTCACCCACAGACGTAGCAGCACTGGGAACGAACCCCAACAACCACATAGAAGCTGAAAAAACGTGCAGCTAGTCCCCCATGCACCGAGGTGACGTTTAACACCCCCAGAACATACACCATTCAAAATTCTGGATTCTTGCCCTGTTTTTGTAGTCACTGGCAATATAATCCTTCCCCCATCCGGGCAGAGGAACCCAGCGATTTCCAACAGAAGGGGATGGGAAGGGACTTGGCATTTAAATGGAGGGGCCTGGCTGCTGCTGTCACCCCTGCTGTGCCACAGCACTGGGGATGCACAACCAAGGTGCAAGGTGAGGTGGCATCCTCTGGCACCTATCTGCCCTGGGGACTTCTCAGACAACTTCTGAG